TGAAGAATGTCATGGGTATCCTTATAGGGATTGCATTGAATTTATACAATGCTTTCGGTAGTATTGCCATTTTGACAATGTTAAGTTTCCCGACCCATGAGCAGGGGATATCTTTCCATTTCCTCATGTCCTCTTTTATTTCCTGAAGTAGTGTTTTGTAGTTTTCTTTGTACAGGTCCTTTACTTCCTTAGTTAAGCTTATTCCTAGGTACTTGATTTTCTGGGGCACAGTTGTGAACGGGATTGTTTTTTTCATGTAGCTTTCTTCTCTCTCACTGTTTGCATATAGGAAAGCCATGGACTTTTGTGTATTGATTTTATAGCCTGCAACTTTACTATACGAGTCTATTGTTTCTAGGAGTTTTTTGGTGGAGGTTATTGGGTTATTTAAGTATAGTATCATATCATCTGCGAATAGTGAGAGCTTGAGTTCTTCCTTTCCTACCTGAATGCCCTTAATATCTTTTTCTTGCCTAATCGCTATTGCAAGTACTTCCAGTACTATGTTGAACAGCAGTGGAGAGAGTGGGCATCCTTGTCTCGTCCCTGATCTTAGAGGGAAGGCTCTCGGTTTTTCCCCATTGAGGATGATGCTTGCTGTAGGCTTGTGGTAGATGGCTTTAACTATGTTGAGGAAAGTCCCCTCTATACCCATTTTGGCTAGGGTTTTCATCATAAAGGGGTGCTGGATCTTGTCAAATTCTTTCTCTGCATCTATTGATATGATCATATGCTTTTTATCTTTTCTGTTGTTGATATGATGGATTATGTTGATTGATTTCTGAATGTTAAACCATCCTTGCATCCCTGGGATGAATCCTACTTGGTCATGGTGTATGATCTTTTTGATGAGTAGTTGGATTCTATTTGCTAGTAGTTTGTTGAGGATCTTTGCATCTGTGTTCATCAGGGATATCGGCCTGTAGAGGATATGTATACTTTTGTCAAAGCTTTATGAATGATACATTTAAGGTCTGTGTGTTTCACTATGTGTATATTTTATGTGCAAAAAAGGTAAAACAATTAGGGCAGTACAGCAGGGAGGGCACTTGCCTTGAGTGAGGACAACTCGGGTTTGATCCAAGGTATCCCACATGATCCCTTGAGCACCACTAGGAGTACTTTTTGAGTGTAGGGCCAGGAGTAACTCTAGAGCATCCTAAAAAGTGACCCAAAGAGATAGGAAAGCTCCCCCCTTCCCCATGAAAGCTGTTTGCTCCTTCCCAAGGGCAAATTATGTGGGGTTTGCTGAGACTTTCAAGTGTAAGTGAGAGGTAAAATAACTTGGCAGAAACAGGATGATGGCATACCCAATATTGAGAAACTGTTCCCGTTTCCTTGTTCTCTTTTCTTCCTCAAAAGTTAGCACCCAGATTTTTATTCTCTTGCTGGGAACATGGAAGACTTATTTATTTATAAAATTTTTGTGGAACTTGGGGGTTACACCTTGCTGTTCTCAGGGATCACTCCTGGATCTTTTCTCAGGAGTGATCGCTGGTGGTGTTTGGGGGACCATAAGTGGTGCCAGGAATTTGAACTGGTGTCCAGCGGAATGCAAAGCCTTAGCCCCTGTATTATCTCTCGGCTTTGGAAAGCTCTGCCTAAGTCACTTTACCATACAGTACTGATGTTGGAGTTTTCCTCATAAATGCTCAGCCAGAACCTCCTCTAATGCTCACATTTGTGAAACAGCACTTTTTTTTGTTTTGTTTTATTAGTGAAACACCATGAGGTACAGTTGTAGACTTACAAGTTGTTGTGTTTGGGTTTCAGTTATACAATGATCGAGTACCCATCCCACCACCAGTGCCCATTCTCCACCCCCACCAATCCCAGTATCTTTCCCGCCCCCCATCCCCCATCCCACCTTGCCTCTGAGGCAGGGCACTCCCTTTTGTTCTATCTCTCCTTTTGGGTGCTTTGGTCTGCAGAAGAAACCCTTCCCAGCACCCTTTATTTGGTGCTCCCTTCTCTATCTGAGCTGCCTTTACCGGAGTGTGCGGCTGGCCTCTAAGGCATGGAGTGAACAGCCTGGTATTTATCACAGCTGTTCTTGGGTGTTAGTCTCTTATGTTGTTACTTTATGAAACAGCACTCTTAAGCTCAGAACTAAGCAGTAGGTGTATGAGTGTGGAAAAGGCAATTCCATTTATAGTCACCCTTAATAGAGAGGGACCAAGTATTACCAGGTATTTGGGGGAAGCTACTAAAATGGAGGGAAAAATTCATTTGGAAAAATCAAAATTTTTTTAATGGAGAAAGTTTGATTTAAAAAGTAGAATCAGTATCCTCAAAGCTGAGAATATGTGCCATCTATGAGGGAAAAACCTAGATGCTATAAAAAGAAAGCTCTTAGAAATTAATATAATATGAAACGAGCAGTAAAAATATGTCATTAGAAGCATTGGAAGGTGAAGATGGTATTAGTTTCCCAGAAATTAGAATGAACAAAACTGAGGGGGAAAATAGGAAAGAAAAGACAAAAGAAGTGGAAGAACAATTGGAATAATAGGGAATTTGAAAGGAATAAAAATGGAAGCACAAGTTATCAATGAAATTATTTAAGGAAAAATCTCAGAACTGAAGTCTGTGTTTCTAGAGTGAAAAAGTTCATGAATACGCCTCACTGTGGAAAGAAATAAACTCGCCAAAGGCCTACTATTATGGCATTTTAGAAAACTAGGGACAAAAATAAGATACTCAACTTTTCCAAGTGAATATTTTGGAGTCACTCCTGGAGGTGCCCCAGATATTTTATTTGCAATAATGAATGCTAGACCGTGGAATCATGACTCACAGAGAGGGTAACTGGAGTGGAGGGAGATTTTCTTTTGGGGCCACACTTGGTGAAGCTCGAGAGCTTCTTCCTAAGTGGTTCTCACTGTTCACTTTTATAGTGCATGCAGAATACTTCAGCTTTTTTTTTCTTTTGCTTTTTGGGTCACACCGGCGATGCACAGGGGTTACTCCTGGCTCATGCACTCAGGAATTACCCCTGGCGGTACTCGGGGGACCATATGGGGTGCTGGGAATCGAACCCGGGTTGGCCGCGTGCAAGGCAAATGCCCTACCAACTGTGCTATCACTCCAGCCCTTACTTCAGCTTTTTGAACCATCTTCCTGGCCAAAAATAGAAAATAGAGAATACATTTTCTATTAAAAACAAAACAAACTAATTAAAAATAATATCATGTGGGTATTTGTTTAGAATATTTGTGGATGTTTCCTTATTTTCTTAAAAAATGCAACCAGGAAGCATTTTATTTAAGTTCAGGGCTAGTAGGTCAGAGAGATTTAATCAGAGAATTTAATTTTAGAATAGAAACTTTCGGTTTTTTTTCAGGGCTCAGGGGGGTTCTCCAGGTAGTTCACAGGGGGCCCTAGAATCATCCTTGGTGATGCTCCACCTGATGCTTTGAGGACCCAGCAGTGGTAGGGGCCTGCAGTGCCACCCCAGTGGTACTAGGGACTGTCATACACTACTGCCTATGGGCTGTACCCCTGGCCCCACATCAATTCTGGATGCGGCCTCAGAGCATTCCCTGCAGTGTGTTGAGAAGCTTTGGTGATTTCAGATTATTACCAGTAGCAGAGAGGAGTTAAACACAACTTTGGGTGACTAGTTAGAGTTTTAAGAGTTGGTACAATCTCAGTTTTAAACAATCTCTTCTGTTCAGTATCATCATTGATTTGTTGCCAAAGATCAAATATAAAAAGTCATCATCTATTAAGTCTTCAAAAAAGAAGTAGCTCTGTGCTGGGGGATACCCCAGAGGGCTAGTCTGTGAGCTTTGTATGTGGACACCCTGGGTTTGATCCCTGGAACCACATGGTCCTCCGAGCACTGCTGAAAAGTAGTCCCAGAACCTAGAGCTGGGAGTAGCCCTGAACATGAGGTGAGGGCCAAAAATAAAAAAGTAACCCTCCTTCCACCACACACCAGCTAAAGTTGCCCTAGATGTCAGTCCCCCATCCCTTTTCTGGTTCTTCAAAGTGCTACTGAGGAACTTATGATGGGTAGGGCATGTCCATCGACTCCATCCCGCTGAGCCTATGGCTCAGTGTCTGGGTCCAGGAATGTGCTGCTGTCCTTGCTTCATTGTGCTAGTGACCACACCTTAACAGTTCTCATTGAGGACCAATAAGACCAGACCCACCAGCGCTCAGGGTGTCCTCCAGAGCTGCACTAGTTGGTGCCAGGCACTGAACTGGAGTTGGAGGCATACAAGACGTGGGCCCTACTCTGTACCATCTCCATGGTTTTTGTCACAGTATTTTTTTTTTTTAATTTTTAATAGTGAAACACCATGAGGTACAGTTGTAGACTTACAAATTTTTGTGCTTTGGTTTCAATTATACAGTAATCAAGTACCCATCCCTTCACCAGTGCCCATTTTCCATCACCACGGATCCCTCCCACCCCCCATCCCCCTGTCTCACCCTGCCTCTGTGGCAGGGCATTCCCTTTTGTTCTCTCTCTCCTTTTGGGTACTGTGTTACAGTATTTTAAAAAGCATTTGATGAATTTTCTTGAATAGGAGATGAAGCAGAAGACTTGCTGGTGCTAGAGATATGCTTATACTTGGACTGGAGATGCCTCTAGGAATCTCACCATGCCTGGAGGGGAAGATGAGCTTGAAAATTGTAGGGGCTAGAGAGATAGTACAGAGGGTAGTGTGCTTGCCCTCATGCAGCCCACCTAGGTTTGATCTCCAGCATCCCGTATGGTCTGCTGAACACCGCCAGGGGTGATCCCTGAGTGTAGAGCCAGGAATAACTCCCGAGCATCACTGAATGTGGCCCCCAAAACAAAAAACAAAACTAAGCAACCACAACAACAAGAAATTGTAAAACTAAGTGGTTCTTGAGTGGTGAACTTAAATATTTTGTCCAAAGATTATTCTGTGAATGGAATTAGTTTCAGTGTCTACTTTGTGAACTCCTCCTGATCATTCTTTGATGTCTTATTTTAAAAAAAACATTAAAAATATTTCCTATAGCTCAGAATTCAGAACTTCAAGGGAAAGTAAGCGAGACTGAGAAACTTCTCCAGATTTCCCAGCAAAAATGGAAAGAAGAATGCAGAAGATTTGAATGCGATTTGGAAGAAAGAGATAATATCATTCAAAATTGCAATCAAGAATACGATTTACTTATGAGAGAAAAAAGCAAACTAGAGAAATTGTTACAGGTAAAATTTTTTTTATAAAGGATTGTTTTCTAAATGTGATATTTATTGAGATGTTTTACATTATTTGAAGTAATTTACATTATTTGGAAAGAAAAACTGCGACTGAAAAGCAAGAAAATCTGATTTCCCCTCCCATCTCTCTCTATCCCTCCCTGCCTCTCCTTTCATTTTTAGACACATTTTTGTTGCCAGAAAATTTATAATATGTATAATGTTTCTTTCCTAACAGTTTTGGAAGTCTGATCAAAGTCTAAAAAGAGCACTTAAATGGATGTATTTTAAGAACCTACAGTCCTTTAGGCTGTATAATTTTGAATTTTAGAAATGTGGGCCAGTGATTTTGGTTAAAATATATAATAAATATAGAACAACATTTTTGAACCTGATATAAGATTTATTATCTATAAGGAGCACGTTCTGCATTGACATGATGTGTAAAATATTCGGTGACACTTCTTTTGTTAATTTTATTTGTTTGTTTGTTTTTGAACCGTACCCTGTAGTATTAGGTCTTACTCTTGGCTCTGGGCTCAGGATCACACCTGGTGATGCTTGAGAGACCATATTTGATGCTGGGGCTAGAGCCAGGGCCAGCCACATGTAAGGCAAGTGCCTCACCCTGTGCTATCTCTCCAGTCTCTCAGATCGACATTCTGTTGATGAAAAAAACGATCAGTGCTTTTAACATAAATTTTAATGAACTTTAGCTTCTTTAAGAAAAGACGGTCTTCTGTACATTTAAAATGGGGAGGAAGAAAGAATGATAACTTTTATTTGTAATAGTTAAGCAGGATTTTATTCTTATAAAGGATGCACTGGAAAACCATCAGCAGGAGAGGAATGAGTTGGAGTCTCATATCAGGGAGACAGCCTTGGAGGAGTTTAGATTACAAGCAGAACAATGGGAAGCAGAAAGAAGAGAGTTACAGTTTATAGTACAGGTATTTAAAAAATAAGAATTTAGTTCCTTGATTTGTCTAACAATTACCCTAATGACGGTTACCTTACTCGACCAGCATACTCAAGGCAAAACTAATTCCTAATCTTAGTCTTGTAGGCCATGTTTATTAGTGGTCCTGCGACTTTATGGGAAGCTGTTACCAACAGCTGCCACTAGATAAGTGACATTACTACATGAATTGCATGAGGTAGAGAAGGACATAAGTACTTCTGGCATTTTAGTGTTGCAGTTTGTTTGTTTTCATATTCGGATTTTCAGTTGTAGCCAGTAGCATTGGACACTGCTCTCAGGTCAAAGCACTCTATTCTTGTGCCCCCTCTCATTTGTCTTGTTTAAAACGTGGGAGGGGCTGGAGCAATAGCACAACAGGTAGGGCATTTGCCTTGCACACCGCCAACCCAGGATCGAATCCCAGCGTCCCATGTGGTCCCCCGAGCCCCACAAGGAGTAATTCCTGAGTGCAGAGTCAGGAGTAACCCTTGTGCATCGCCGGGTCACTTACAATTTTATAGTCATTTTTTGTGTTTTTTTTTCTGAGGGGCCACACCTGGCGGTGCTCAGGGCTTAATACTGGCACAGCACTCAGGGATCACTCCTGGTGGGGCTCGGGGGACCATATTGGTTTCTGGGCATGAAGCCTGGGTTGGCTGCATGCAAGGCAAGCAACCTACATGCTTCCTGCTGTTGCTTCGACCCTCATTTTGAATTCTTTTATGATGTTGAGGTGCTTTCTCTTCCCCTTCCCTTCTTGTTGTGGTGACTTGGGCAAAAGACAGATGCCTGGCTGTGGGACTCACACTCTTGGATCTGATGTAGTACTTGATAGGGTGCTGGCCAATTTTTCAAGTTGTAGTGCTCTCACACAGCTAGCTGCACTGGAGAAAGATCACACTCTTCATTGTCAGGGGTCTTATACAGCAGAGCTGCTGGGATGGTACTTGGACATGTGAGTCCACCACAGATCAAACTTGAGACCAAGTGCTTACAAAGCAGGAGCTTTTTGCTACGGATCCATCCATCCTCCTGTTACAAGAAGCACAAGCTCTTACTCTCTCCCCAACCCCCCCTAGCACACTGAATCTCTAAGACTTCATGTAGTCCAGTAGATGTGGCCCTGGTGACTCTTGGCACCTCCAGGATATCCTGGCTTTCCCTGGCATAGAGGGCACTGAGCTAGGTGGCCAGGTATCATTGGCAATGTTTGGGAGCCCTTTTCTCTTCCCAGTTCCCCAAAACTAAACAGAATGCACACATACAGAGAATAGAAGTCCCCTGATTTCTCTAAGCATGAAAACTAGCAGTGAACACTGGAAGTACTGAATTTATTTTTTACTGTAGGTGTTCAGAATGCCAACAAAACCAGTTTCCCAAACTTTTGCTTTCTGGACAGTGCTTTCCAAGAATTTTCTCTGCAAATCTAGAAAGACATTGCAATCACTCTTCTGTTTTGTTTTGAACCAAACCTAGTGGTGCTCATGACTTATTCCTGGCTTTACTCCGGGGGTCACTGCTGCAGACTGGAGCATATGGGATGCAGGGACTCGAACCTGGGTTGGCCACATACAAAGCAAGCACTCAACCCGTTGTTCTATCTCTTTCACAAATAGCTTGATACTCTGTTACAATGAGATTTTTGTTATAGTTCCCAAAGTTGGAAAAAGGAGTACTTTAATATTGACAAATTTATAGTTATTCTATAATTCTTCAGAATTGGAACCGTAGTTTGAATTCTGAGAAACTATTATATATTTACATAGAAATAATTGAATTTTTTTGGACTGTGTTTTTGAAAGTTGTAGAAAGAAAGCAAATTAATTTTTTTAACACTGGTTTCCCATTGATAAATGTCAAGTCAAAAACTCGCTTTATTTAAAAACATTTTAAGTTCAACACTTCCCTCTAGTGGAAAAAAGAGAAATTCATTCAGATTTTAATATTCTGTGTGCAGAGCCTGGCAAGCTCCCCGTGGCGTAAAACAGTAACAAGTCTCACAATGGAGCCGTTACTGATGCCCACTCGAGCAAATTGATGAACAATGGGACGACAGTGCTTCAGTGCTACAGTGTGCAGTTATAAGATGCACATACACCCCCACTCCCCCGACACACATGCACAACCGATGCACATGCACACACACTACTTTTTAAATATGTAAGGATATTCATGTACTTTTTGGTTTTATTAGAAAATTAATTCTGAACTAAGGGTGTAGTTCAGTTGTAGAGTTCATCCTTTTCATGTGTGAGGCTCTAGGTTTGTATACTGGCACCAAAATAATGAAGAAAAATTTTAAAATGTATTTACGCAAATAATATTGATCATAAAATGCATGGAATATTTCATAATTTTTCTTGTACATATTAATGTACCAAGACTAAGATTACCTTGGGAAAACCTATTTGAATATACACAAAAGATGAATATAATGCCTACACTATATAGTCAGCCAATATATCATACTATGAGAACATACTAGTTTTGATTATATTTTTTGGTAATATTTTTGGTAATTCCAATTTTTTTAATAATACCAAAAAGTTTTGGTAATATTTGTTTCATAATAAAAATACTAATGAATTATATTACTCAATAATTATGTCATTAAGTAGCACAGGCATTTTAACAACTGGACTGGGGCCGGAGAGATAGTACAAGGGTTAAGGTGCTTGCCTCTGTGCGGTTTACCCTGGTTCTGTCCCCAGCACCAAATATGGTCCCCCAGTTCTCTCCATGGGTGATCCCTAAGCACAGAGCCAGCAGTAAATCCTGAGCAAAACCAGATGTAGCCCCAAACCATCCTCCCGCCACAAAAGAAACCAGAAGTATCTGTGGACATTTACTTACATTTTCTTATATCAACAGGTATCTATAGCTAGTCATCTTTTACTCATTTGTGTAGCATCTAAATAGTATACATATGGAATATATATGTATCTTCATATATTTATAAAGTATTATGCAAATTTCACAAAATCACAAATCATCCTATTATTCATCGATTGCCTCGAGCAGGCCCCAGTAACGTCTCTTTCATCCTAGCCCTGAGATTATATTCAAGGCTCTTTAGGAGAATGAGACCCATCATTGTTACTGGTATTTGGCATATTGGGTACGCCACGAGGAGTTTGCCAGACTCTGCCGTGTGGGCAGGCTACATTCAGTAGCCTGCCAGTTTGTCCAAAGTAGGAATGAGATAATAAAATGTCATAATAAGATGTCGCGCGGCCGCAAATGCAGCCACGCGGTTCCGGGAACTGGTTTTTATAGTCTCTGAGTCTTGGCCGTTGATGGGATTACACGGCGCCAGGGGGCCAGTTGGTGGGTGTGACCCCCTCCTACTGGAATTTGGAGGATCTGGGTGGAGGATGCTTGGCCCCAATCTGAGTAGGCTTGGAGATCTCGGCCCCGGAACCCGTGTGGCTTTGTCCCTCTGCCAGTACCTTCATGTGTGCGGAGAGTGGTCTCAGCATGGTGGGGGCTGGTCCTGGAGGTCTTCGGCTGCCGGAGCCCTGGTTGGGGCGGGGAGGAAAGCTCAACCTGCTCCCCATATGCAAATTTATGTGTATTATATTATTCATGTGGTAAAAATATGTAGATCATAAACACAATAAAATGGAAAATAATTGCATGAAGTCAATTTGTTGAGTATAAAAGCCTGGAAAGGGAAAAATATCCAGAAAATAATTAACTCGGTAAAACTAATACAAACAAACAAAAGAAAACAAAACACCTTAAACCTACAGCAGCCACTGAGAATAGAAGTTATTGTTTAAACATCAAGTAGAGCAGGTAGGTGCTTGCCTTGCATGCGGCTGACCCACGTTCAATCGCTGACACCCCATATGATCCCCTGAGCCTGGCCAGGAGTGATCCCTGAGCACAGAGCTGGGAGTCAGCCCTGAGCACTGCCAGGGCTGTGCCTCCTCAGAAACAATAATAACAGAAAAATTGGCAGAAGTTTTAAGCTTAATTCACAACATTTAATGTTCGTTGTATCTCAGTCAGCATTATGCATAAACGGTTGATCAAATTTAGGATA